GGCTCTGGCGGCTGCGGCCGGCCCGCCCCAGGCGGAGGTAGACCAGGCCGGAGCTGTAGTCGGTGGACAGCACGTGGAAGGCCTTCACCCCTCGCACTGGAAGACAGGCCCAGAGCCACCCGCTGGCGCCTGCCTGGCGCGCCCGAGCCCACCCGCAGCCCCGAGCCCCAGCCCAGGGTGGGCGTCTGCAGGGGACCAAGTGTCTCCCAGACTCCACCCCCCAGGTGGGCCACACAGCACATGGCACGTCAGCTCTGGGACCAACGCCAGCCTGACCACCCGGGTCAGGGTGTCCATCCCGCCCGCCATGTGCCCTCAAGGGGTGAAAGGGCTGCTGAAGGGGCCGGGGCATCTTATCCAGGTCCTCAGCGGCGTCGCACGCACGGGGGTTCCTGAACACGGCCTTCTTCTTGTCCTTCCGCAGGACCACCTCCTGGGACTGGCACCCCCGGGGCCTGGGGACGAGGCGGACTCGAGCTCAGGCCAGGGAGCCCCGCCCCGCCCAGGAAGACCGCGTGGTCCCACCTGCACCGCCCTCCACGCAGGCGGGACTGGGGCTGGGGCGAGGCCACCGGCTTTGACAGTGGGCCCGGTCGCTACGGAATTTCCCACTTTGGACCAGAGCCCGTCCCACAGCTTGAGGGAAACGCCCCAAACACCCCCTCCTGCCGAGTGCCCCGTGGACTGCTGGCGGCTTCTCCCAAAACCAGTCCTTCGAATTTCAGGGAGAGGACGTGATGGAGGAAAAGCCTTGTGGAACTTCCAGACTGACCGACCACTCTGGCCTCCTCCCTGACTCCTTTCCCTGGGGTCTCCTGCCTCCTGGAAGGGGAGACACCCCCTGCCACGTCTGCAAAGGGTGTGCTGGGACCACTGCCCACATCCGCTCACCGGCTAAAGGCGATGACTACCTTCAGCCGGCCCACTCCGTTCAATGTCATTACGGACGCCCCCAGCTTCCTTTTTTCTCTGGCTGGCAGGAATCCCTGGGTGTTAGTGGCAATGGCCAGAATGTACCAGAACCCTGAAAACTACAGAGGGACCAGGGGAGGACAGGTGTGGGAGCTGACAACCTGGGTGCTGCCTGCCCAACCCCCTGGCTCCCAGCCAGAGAACTGACCCACAAGTGACCCTTTCCCAAGGCCCAGCCAGGCCGAGGAGAGGCAGATGCCCAGCTGGTCAGGGGCCATCGGAGCTCCTCCGTCTGACCGTGGAGGTGCTGGCTCCTTCCCAAGTAGGGGACAATGGATGGCTCAGCCCCTTACTTCCAGCTGCACCCTGTGCCCTGGCCCACTGGCACTACCTGCTGCAGACCCCTGACCCCGGGCACTGCTGGGCCTTGTAAGTGCCGCCTCTGACGGCCGGGCTCCCCTCCATCCAGAGCTTGCTGCGTCCCTTCTGCCGTCTCAGCATCTCTGGCTCCCTCAGCCCCCCACCCTGACCCCTCCTCGGGGCTCCCCAGCCCCCTTTGCCTCTAGTGCTGGGGGCTGCGGTGGGAGAGGTGGGGGGCAGCCCCCCTGGCCCAGCAGAACCCGGGGCCCTGACTCCTGCTGGCCTCGGTACCACGCTTGCCTCTGCATGTCTGCTTGGAGACTGTGCAGGGCATGTGCTCCAGCTGCCCTGCCCCACAGCTCGGCCTTCCGTGGCCCTGGCACCCAGCTCGGGGACCAGTGGGCCGGTCCTCACCTTGTTCCAGTTTAGGGTGTGGGACTCCTTGGGGTCCTGCCTCTGTGGCTGGGACCCCACGGCCAGGACCAGTGGCAGGACCAGCAGCAGCAGCCCCGGCCTCATCCTCACCTAACTCTCTCCACCCAACAGAGTCTGTGCTTAAATCTCCGCCTGGCCCCCTGAGGGCGTCTGACCCTCCCCTGAGCACGAGCCTCCATCCATCCTGGGCTGGGGCGGAGGGAGGGGCGGAAGGTGGGCAGGTACAGCTTTGGGCTCTGCCCCCATCCCTGGCACAGAGGCTGGCCCCTGGGCACTCAGCCACCTGGCAGCCTTCGTGGGCACCACCTGTCTGGGAGGCCTCTGGAGACGAGACCATCGTGTTCCCGGAGGCCACACTCAGGTCCATTGCTGGCCTGGCCTGGGGCCACCCTGCACCCCCTGTGTGCTGTGACAGCCCCAGAGCCATCTCACTGGGCAGTGGGCAGCTGGAGCCTCTTGTCCTAGACTCCCAGATGAGAGGCAAAGTGTGGGGTGGCTCTGGACTGCACTTCTCGGGGCAAGTGTGATATGGAGGGCCCAACCACAGTGACCCCAGGGCTCAGACAGCAGCCACCTTCTCCAGGCCCCAGCATCACAGCACCTGAGCTGGTACAGACAGATGGGCCAGGCTGGACATGTGTGTGCCCGTGTGTGTGTGCACATATGGGCGTGCATGTGGGTGGGTGCACACACGTGCTCATGAGTGTGCGTGAGTGCACACATGTGGGTGGGTACATGCATGCGCTCATGAGCATGTGCATGCGTGTGCACACGGTGGGTGGGGGCACGCGTGTGCTCATGTGCGTGTGCAGCCTGGAGGAAGGAGGAGCCTTGTGTGCACCTCACCCAGCTCAGCGTGAGTGAAGGGCAGCCCCCACTCCACTTCTAGCCCAGCTACCCCCACAGCTGCACTTTTCCCAGGACTTTGGGCAGCACCCCCCACACACACACCTGGCAGATCACTGGAAGAACCACAGGCTCAGGACCTCTGGGGTCCCTGGCCCCCTGCCCCAGCCACAGCCAGAGCTCCAGCCCCAAGAGAGCAGAGCTTAGAGGGTCAGAGACTGGGACCAGCACTGGCTGCCACCCTGTTGCAATTTGTAGCGCCCCAGCCATGGGTCTTGGTGACCACTAGTGCCAGTGTCCTCATCCAGCACCTGCCCCATGGAATCCTGTTCCAACCCAGGCAGATCAGCCTCCGCCTAGCCGGGGCCATTTTGGGTCCTGATGGGAGGAGCAGCTGTCCCCAGATCAGCCCCTATGTCCGAGCCAGGGCCTGAGTTCAGGGTCCCCAGACGCAGAGGACTCTGGAGTGGGGTGCAGGTGTACGCGTGCTGTTGTGCAGAGCTGGCTCTATGGCTCTGAGGTGTGGTCCTTGATGCCATTCCCCCAGTCCCCCCTCCTCTGCCTGTCCCCACATAGGGCACTGCCTGGCCCAGTCATGAGCCATCGGGTGGGTTTCCATGCGGAATCACTTTATTCTGATCTGGAGTGAGTGCCCTGGGAATAGCATCCCAATGCCCAGTGCCTCAGGCTGGCCTCCATCAGGACACCGTGGGCTCCATCCCTGCCGGGGGCTGCAGCATTCACTGAAAACCAAGGAGAGCATGTGCAGGACCCCACTCACCAGGGAGGCGTCACCATGCCCCCGCACCCTCAGCCTCCTTCAGCGCAGCAAAGCCACCAACCTACAGGTTTGGGCAAGGTGTCCTCCCGCCCCCTGGGGCTAGGATGGCTCCCAGGTCCCCAGGCTCCTCCCACACCACAGGACACCCAGGGTGATACCCAAGACGGTGTCATACCTGGAGGATCTTGCGTGCACAGGTGACTGGAGGGGAGGCAATACCACCGTGAGGACAGTTGTGGCCGCCCCAGCGCCCAGGCCCTACTCTTCCCTGCGTGCAGCCTCACCTGAGGTGGGGCTGTCCTGGATGCTGACTTTGGACAGGAGTGGGCGACTGCTTGGAGACCCCTCCCCCAGCCCTGCCAGACTCCCCCAGCCCAGGAGCATGGCCGAGGCTGGCAGAAGCCAGGAAATGGCCCTGCAGTCTATGCCGCCCACCATACCCGTGGGCATCAGAACTGGCCTTGAGCCCCCACTGCGGCCGCTCCAGCGGACACTCACGGTCCTTCTGCAGCTGGGCCTGCTGCCGGGACAGGAAGCCCAGGCCCTTGCTCCACTTGGTAAAGAGCCGCAGGGCCTCCTGGCTGGCCATCTCTGTCCGACCTGCAGACGGACAGCCACTGAGAGTCAGGGAGGGGCCCGGGAGGGGCCTGAGGTGGGTGGGGGAGGGGCTGCCTGCCCTCAGGATGCCCCCAGCACAGCCAGCCTCCAGGTGGTGGGAGTCTGGCCCCTGTGTTTCCCCCATTCAGGGCTGGGGTCCCAGAGCACTGGGGTCTGGGGGGCCAGGGGTCCCTGTGAGCCCTCGCCTGCGGCACACTCACTGTACAGCTCCACAGTGTTGAAGGCCTCGTCCCCAAACTCTAGCTGGGTGAAGATGATGGCGTAGTCCTTGAAGTCAGTGCCCAGCACCCGGTACTCCAGCACGCCCAGAGCTAGGGAAAAGACGCACCTTCCCAGTGGGTGGGACGGGGCCCGTCTGGGAGCAGCTGAGCTGGTGTCAGCCATGGGGACGGAGGGGCCAACTCAGGGCCAGAGCCTGTTAGACCTCAGGAGAGGTGCTCTCAGCAGACCCAGGCTCCCAAGCTCTGTGCCCTGGTCCTGGGCCCCCACCTGACACCGTCAGGAAGCGGCTCTCAGTAGTTGATGGACAGATGGATGGACGAGCGCCTGTCTTAGCTCATCCTGTGAGTGACTGAGGAGTGACTGGGTCAGGCTTGCCCAACCCTACACCAGGGGGGCAGATGGCACTGGTCAGGCCCCCACCCTCTGCACCTGTGGGGGTCTGGGGACCTAAGGTGGGCCACAGTGTCGTCTGAGCACAGAGGGGCAAGGTCCGATCCTCTGCCCAGGGGCTTCTCTTTGCATCAAACCTCTGACAAAATCAGATCCTTTAACTTCCTCGTGAAGAGCTACACGGAGTGTCTGGACTGGAGTCAGGCCCCCTCCCCACTGGCACTGGCCCTGCCGGCAGGGGTCCTGGGGACGCCACAGGGGCCGGCCTCCATGACGGCCCAGAAACAGCCCGGGTGCAGCCAGTGGCCGTCATACTCACAGGGATTCTCAAATACCCATCCGGAATTCTGTCTCAGCAGCTGCACAATGTTCTGGTTGCAGCCCTCCAGGCTGGAAAAGAAACGGGCCCATCACCAGCTCAGGGTCAAGACCTGGGCCCTGTGGGAGGAAACAAGTCCAGACGCGGCCGGAGATGGGCAAGGCTGCAGGGGGAGCCCCATCTTCCTCCCGATGCCCCCAGTTACTGGGATCTTGCTCTCGGTCAGTCTGAGCCCGTCTGGACAGCCAGGCTGGCACAGGGGTCCCCAGGAGGGGTAAGCAGCTCCTTTCACCTCCCAAGAGACCTGTGAGGCCAGTGCTGCAGGGACAGAGCCAAGCTGCTGCTGAGGCACAGAGGGGACTCAGATGGCCAGCAGGATGCCTGTGGTCTAGTGTGGAGACTCAGCACCCACAGGGCCAGTGTTCCCTGAACTGTCAGCCCGTAAAACGAGCACACCCCAAAACATGTGCGGTGGTCTTTGTAAACAAAATCTGTGACGCTAAAGCTCCCATGGGGAGAACCGCAAGAACAACTAGGGACTTTCTAGAAGGAAGAATAACCAGCAAGAATCACCAGCGAGGTAGATGACAGGGCATACTGTAAAGCTACGGTAATTAAAACATTGAAGTTTGGGACCGGCCCGGTGGCGCACTGCTACAGTGCGCCGCTTGGGAGCGTGGTGGCGCTCCCGCCGAGGGTTCGGATCCCACATACAGACCGGTTCCCGCTCACTGGCTGAGCGAGGCGCGGGAGCAACACCGAGGGTTGCGATCCCGTTGCTGGTCACGAAAAAAGACCAAAAAAGGGAAGAAAAAAAAAACAAACAAAAAACATTGAAGTTTGGCCACTAAATAGACATGTTGAAGAAACAGAAGAGAAAGCCCAGAAATAAAGCGAGCGTACACAGGAGCTCAGTGCCTGGCACGGGTGGCACCTCAGGTCAACACAGGAAGGACGGACGCTTCAGTGAACGACGCTGGGCAGTCGCCTGGTCACGTAGACAAGCCGGGAAACCTACTTGCAACTAATTTTTATCACAGACAAGTGGCTGATTTTTCTACTATTTAAGGGTTTCTACAATCAGTAAGAAACACACTCAGGAGAAAAATGCTGAAGATACGAACACAGTTCATCGGAAGGGAGGCACAAAGACTCATTAACGTACACCAAGATGTCCCGCCACTCTTGTGACTAGAGAAAGGCACATCAAAACCAATCCGAGGGCCCATTTTTGGCAAAGATCACTGAGTAAGCCATGTTGGACGTCACGTCTGTGGTGACACGGAGCAGCCTGTGCCAGAATTACAGATGCGTACACCTTAACCTTGACCCCCAAGTCCACTTCTAGGGATTAATCCTTCAAGTGGACACGCTCCCCCAGACGAGCTTACCAAGGTTCATTCCCTACAGTGGGTCTCTAATTGCAAAAGATTGGAGAACACCTAAACGTCCATGTGCAGAGCACTGGTTAAGGAGAGGAGGGTGATGCACACGGTAAAGTACTACACGGCTATAGAAAAGAACGCGCGCGGCTCCAAAAGTCAAGCATACACTTGCCCCATGACCCGGCAATTCCACTCCCGAGTCTGCATCCAGAAGAACTGAAAGCAGGGTCTGGAGGACACGTTTGCGCCCCCCGTTCACAGCAGCGCGACTCACGACAGCTAAGAGGTGGAAGCAGCCCAGTGCCCATCCACAGATGTTGGCTAAACACAGTGTGGTCCATCCACACAGTGGAATATTGTTCAGCCTTAAGCAAGAAGGAAATTCTGACCCACGCTACAGCCTAGATCAGCCTTGAGGACATTTTGATAAGTGAAATAGCCAGTCGTCAAATTCATAGAGACAGAAAGTAGGGTGGTGGGTGCCAGGGGCTGGGGGAGCTGGTGCTTAACGGAGACAGGTTCA